GAGAGGAGCCTGAGAACTGAAAGATTTTCCTCCCATTCTGCTGCTGGAAACTCTAGGAACCACAAGTAAACCTGCAGTCTGAGAGCGAAGTGCTCTGTTAGTAAAATATAGAACAATAAGATCTGTAATATAAGATGGAGCTAGGTTGTTGAGAGCTTTGTAGGTTAGAAGTAAGATTTTGAATTCTCTTCTGGATTTGACAGGGAGCCAATGGAGAGAAGCTGAAACTGGAGTGATATGATCTCTCCCAGTAACTCCAGTTAAGACTCTGGCTGCAGCATTTTGGATCAACTGAAAACTGCACACACCAGCTGTCTGAGGTGACGGCTCTGCAGAGGGGGGTTAAGGCTGCACACAAGACTGTGGGGACCTACATAGTTTGTCTTCTTCCCAGCATGCATCTCTGCTGTAGGACTGAAGGTGTTCTTTCAAATCCACCCAGAGGTCAGAGGTCACATTCAAACACTCATTGAGCTCCATTTCCACAGGAAGTGACAGCTTTTTAAAAAATTGTCATATCTCCTCCACCGTGCACTGTGTGATTGTGATGAGCAGACCCTTCTGCCACCTACGGTTTGTGGATTGTATCTGGACCTGGATCAGCAGACACAGTTCATGTTTCAGTCAGTATTTCTATGGCAGTCCTAAAAGTCCCTGATTTATCTCCTTCCTTGCTACAAAGACAAAACTCCTTGAGATTAGTAATCTGGATGAATGGTCTGTATTGTCACTGTTTGGCTCTCCAGACGCTTTGGGACATGAACCGCTCTGACGTTGTAGTTGAGCTTGAGTAATGCTCATGTCTACTGAGTCTGGAATCCTTGAGATGTATCCAAACAACCATTTTTACTGTTTGACCATGATTACCTTAAATCAAGATTAAACATTGGACATTTAATTCCTGCAGCTTAACTCTTCCAAAGTGTGAGTAGCTTTTCCTCCAGTGCGTTAAATCCAAACAATGTGAGTGTGGTGTTCACCAACAAGCAGACAGAGAAGACAGACCTCATGGCTTGCTGTGTCCTCTGCCCTGCAGCGAAGTCGTCCTGTCCAACATCGATGTGGGCGTCGCTGGCAGCTGGGAGTGCCTGCTGACTTCATCCAGAGGAAACGTGTCCAAGCAAATGGACATCGTTGTAGTGGAGACATCAGCTCCTTCCTGCCCGGCGGACAGAGTCACTAACAACAAGGGAGACTTCAGGTGAGTCTTTTCACACCTGCGCTCGATTTTTGACACTGTTGTTCAGTCAGCCGTGTGGAGCTGCCTGTTCCAAAGTCGTGGGGACAACTGTCCCCTTCGGTCACTTCTAGATGTGTTCTCTCCATCTACAGTGGTGTCTTAGTGTACAACTGTCTAATGGTGACGGACAGTGATCACTAGTGTTCAAAGCAGATCCCAGGAGACCTCCTTCAAAGTACGTCTAGGTTAACCTCACTATCATTAGCAGAGACGCTAGAAGCTGCTGAAAACTGGATAATAATCAGAGCGGCTGTTTCTCTGGTCCATGCACGGTCCAGTTCACATGCCTGAGGTCCATTTAATCCAGCCTGAGACCGGGTCTGCCTCGGACCGGTCATCGCTCAGAAGCTGCCAAACACGAGGTTCAGCAGTGAAGTATCAATAAAGAGTAATACGCTCAGTCATCCAGGAAAACAAATCACAACGAAGTTAACTCATCTGGACCGTTTCGTTTTGGAAGAGACGTTTCGTCTTCCATCTGAAGCACTTCACCTGGATGACTGAGCGTACGCTGCTTTTCTTTTTAACCGTAGGCCAGGTTGTCCTCCGGTAACGTTTGATTGCTCTGCACCGATGATCGATTGCTTTAGACTGATGAGCCTCCATTTTGCACGTGTAAACCAGTTTCTGTGAACTCCACAGCAGACTGGTTTGAAACACGCCAACGAGGGGCAATTTATAGACAGACCCTGGTGCAGGCCTCAGACTGACGACGTCGTTCAGATGAAAGACGAAACGTTTCTTCCAAGAAGAATCTGTCCAGATGAGCGGACCTAACCATGTTTTGTGAAGTAAATAATGTTTTAAAGTTTCCTGTTTTGGTTTTAACTCCAACAAACACAAAGCTCAGATGTAGATTATAGGTTTGTGAATAAAAAGGAACAAAGCTGTTCTTCTGTTTGCATCGTCTCTGTGTGGTCTTGAACCCGTGCACCGACCCCCCAACACCTGTCCTGCGGGTGTGTCGTTGTCACAGCCCGCTCTCAGAGCAGCGAGTCGTTTCTGCCCGAGCGTTGGAGTAATGGGCTGGAAAACGAGCCCCCTCTTGGTGCTGGGGGCAAAATTAATGCCATTTATTATCAAGAGCTGCTGCAGCAGGAAGCAAAGTGAGGAATGAAGAAGAGGAGGAGGAGGGCAGCAGCTCTCTAATCCCAGAACAGATTACTGGCCTCACAGGGGCCACGCTTTATTTGAATTTAGATGAACTCAAACAAGGTTCTACTTTAAGCACGACTTGACTGTTGCCAGTGGCTGTCAGCAGAAAACAGCAGCTCGTGGAGTCCCTGACTTCAGCCAGCTCCATCATCTCTTTACTCCACAGCAGCACCAAGAACGGAGACGTTCACACGTTTCATTTGCTGCTCTCAGAGAAGCTTCATGTTACAGGAGCGGGGACAGCGTGAGCCAGTCC